CGAGTCCACAACATGAAGCGAGGGACGATCCACAACTGAATTTTTCACAGTTTTAAACAGCATAAACCTTTAGGACTTCGACGTTGCTCAACTAGTACAACATAAATCTTCACACTATCTTTTAGGCTTTCACATGATGTTATGTCGTGCGATGTAAGCCCTAAAATCTTTTAGAATTTTGAGGTTGTTGGCCGGTACATCGTAAACCCTTCTATCTTCTCGGGCTATTTACATATGTCATGCAAATGTAAGTCCAAAATGTTTAAATATTTTACAGGATTGAAACATTATAATTTCTTTTTCAAAGACATAAAGTCAAACCATATGATAGTCTAAGATGTCACTGAGGTTTCTTTAGTATCTTTAACATCTCTTACTTTTCATTTCTTTGGGTTCCAGAAATAATTGTTCCACATTGAGTTTTTCCCTTTTGATTTTCCTACAAGCAATCGTGGAAACTAAACTTTGAAATCTCGAAGACGAAATTCTGATCTTGATCGAGAGTTTTCTTAAGTGATTTCGGTCGCTTAAGATGTAATTAATTATAGGGGTTTGCCCCTATATGAGAATTAGTAACTCATATAATCTAAATCTTATCTAATTTTTATATTAGATAGGAAAATTGTCAGTCATAAATTCTGTAGACCAAAATAAAGTCATAAACTTTTTAGTTTAATAGTTGAACCTACTAATAAGTAATACACTTATCTTTCGGGATGGTACATCACTTGTAGTATTGTATTCAACTATATAAACTATTAGATATATGAGATCTATCTTGTCTCTTTTTTTAAAACAAAAATAATATTTACAAAATCAAAATTATATACAAATTAAATTAAATATATTTTCAAAAAGAAAGAAAAAAACGACCCACAATCATGATGACATCGACCATCCATGCAGGGTGGTGTACTTCCCGTATGAAGTTTGCTTCCAGAAGCTTGTTGACCTGTTGCTCGATGTCTTGTAAAAGACTTTGCATGAAGTTGCACTTCTTCTGGATGATCGGTTTAAAGGTCGGATATATCTTTAAAGAACGCATGATTATTGTTGGGTCGACTCCAGGCATGTCGGTTAGAGTCCATGCAAAATTGTATTGGTTCCTCTCCAGGAGATCTACATATTCCGACCTCTGCTCATCATAGAGTAGAAAACCAAGTTGCACAGTTCGTGAGGGGAGTTCATCGAACAACATTACATGGATTAAGTCTTCCATTGAAGAAGCTCGTTGAGATACGCCTTCATCTCGAAGATCAAAGTTCTCAACGTTAAGTCTCATTGATGGGCATGGCTGGGCTTACATAAGGTAATATGATTGTGCTATCTGTTGATCCTCTCGTATGATGTCGATCCCTGTTGGGGTTGGGAACTTGAGCTTTAGGTGTGGCACTGAATACATAATGCAAAAGATGGATTGCAGTGGTCTCTAGAAGATGACATTGTATGTTGATTCTAACTTGATGACGATGAACTGGATTGAGTGGGTTGTTTGTCGAGAAAAATATCCCATGACAATAATGATATTTATTGTTCCATCTACCCTTATAGGTCGATTATCAAGACTTTGTAATGACTCAGATGCAAATTGAAGTTTTTCTTATAGCAGCCAAAACTGAGGAATATGGAGTAGAACAAGACATCGACAAAGCTTCTATTGTAAATCAAAATTCTCTTTATGTCGTGTGGCAGGGTTTGTCAATTCCCGTGTTAATGACGAGAGGGTCTTGGTGGGGGACATGGACTCCTGCCAAATCAAAAGCATAAAAAATGATAGGCTCGATTTGCAATTTCTTTTGCGCTAATTCATCTGATGTAGTGATAAGGACTTGATTGGTCATTAACGGGCCTCTAACAATTGTCTGAATTTCACCCACAATTGGGCGACCTCCATGTTGTTGCTTTTGTGTATGTTCCCCTCCAGTGGGAGCATTAACAATACTAGCTGATTTGTTTTGCACAAATTGTCCAAGATATTCCTGAAGAATCAACCTTTCAATCTCTTCCTTGAGTTGTTTATATGCCTCAGTGGTGTGGCTACGACTTCAATGGAAATGAAAGGATTGTTCCTGATTCCTCGAGTTAAGTTTTAGGGGGTGAGGCCACTTAATAGTTTTCTCATCTTTGATGGCCATTAGGGTGTTAACACATGATGTGTTAAGTAGTGTGTACTCTTTCTTATGTAATTGACCACTTTGTTGGCTAGCAGATTCAAAAGGGACCTCGTGATTCTTCTATTGTTTGGACTTTCTCCATTGCGAAGATTGATTATTTTATCCCCACGTTGCTCTTGCGCTTTCCCCTAAGTTGCTCAAACTGCTCCTTATGCATGCTAATGCCCTCGTCCAAAGTTATTTAGGTCTCAAAAAATTTGACCAGGTTAGCATACGAATGAACTGTCTCACACATCAGTGATAAGTAGAAGGGTCCTGGGCAGAGCCCCTTAAGGAAGACTCCTTTTAATAATTCTGGATCCACTCCCGGAATTTGATGGGTTTCAGCGGAAAACCTGTAAAAGTAGTTATTGAGCAACTTTCCTTCACTTTAGCGAATTCTAGAAAGATGGGATGAATCCTTGATGATCGATCAGTTTGTCATGAACTATTCCATGAATAGTCTGACAAGCTCATTAAAGGTGTTTACAGTGCCCCCTGACAGAGAGTAGAATCGGGTGCGAGCTTCTCCTTTAAGAATGGTCAGGAACACTAGACACAGAAGCACATCAGAGGCACGCTGAATGTGCATGATGGTTTTATAGTGATCAATATGCTCATAGGGGTTAGTTATCCATTCGTAGGTGTTGATGTTAGGAAGCTTGAAGTCTATTGGGATGAGGTGTTGGAAGACCACATCCACTAAGGGAGAAGATTCTTGGACGTTGCGATGAGCGGGAAAACGATCCGTTTTCTCTAAAGGGAACTCTTCCCGGACGGGTGTCGTAGCTCGTTACGAATGACATCATCTATAATGGCAGCAAGCCGTAGTGGTGTCAGGTGAATTGTGTGAGATGGTTGAGTGAAACTTGTAATATCTAGAAGTTCAGCATCATGTCCAAACAGAGGAAGTGTTCATTCTTTAGGAGAGGGGTCAGTACGAGTTTCTTCGAGCAGTGCTTTTTATGTCTAAGAGAACTCTATCCAAAGGTGTGGGAAGTGGTTGTTGAGCCCATAGTAGGATTTGTAAGATCTCTAGTTGAGACTCCTCCATTATGCGCATTCGGTCTTCCGGAGAAGGACTCGACAAACCTTGATCGACAAGATAATGTCTCTCATGATGGAAAGATGAAGAGGCATGCTGTTATTGGCTTCGTGACAGCCCTATGGAATGGTGGGTGTTGGAGCAATATGTTTGTGTCTGGTGGCCATGTAGTATGCCTCACAAGTACTTCAGTTGTGGGATTGAAGTCTCCCACAGACGTCGCCAGAATGATGTGTGCTAGAACATTTGCGGCAGTAGAGTAGCATATTATTGTCTTAGCATGGTACGAAGGTAAAATACTCGCTCATAAAAGAGAAAACAACTAATAATGACATCATATGTTTTTGAGTGGAAAATCGGGAAAGAGAAAAACTACGGGGCTTGTCCCAACTGAATAGTTCCATTATAAAAGGATGATTATATTTGCAATCACTTGTCATACAGGCGGGAAAGAGTTTCTAGGGTTTTCCATTTACAAGAAAGAGTTTCTAGGTTTTCCAATTTACAATATTGAAGTGCTGATGAATTTATTGCTAGGAACGGGCGGCGGCCGATAGTGATTGATTGTTTTCGGTTGGTGGTGGTTGATGACGGTTGGCGGTAATTGACGGTTGTTGACGATGGTCGAAGAAGGTTGGCGGTGATCGACGACGGTTGACAGTGGTCGACAACGGTCAATGGTGGTTGACGAAGGTTAACGATGGTCGAAGGCGACCGACAAAATTCGACGACGGTCTGAGTTGGTCGACGACGGTGGTGATGTTATGCTTTAGCTCATTTTCAAAACTTCAAGTTCTTCCTCAAATCTCAAACTCTCATCCTCCTCATGAGAGGGGTGAGACTCTATTTATAGTGTTCATGATGTAATTAATGCATAAATATGAACCAGTTTGATCGGAATGTCTGCAGAGCTTCATTCGATTAGACGATGTTTGATAGACATTTTAGTGCCTTAAGAATGTCGAAATTGAGCAATCTTAGACTCGCTGGGTTCGTCTTATCGAGATGCTCGATTGAATTATAGGTTTAGTAGATTCAACATTTTTTTGATCTTCTAATTACCGAAAAACTTTTAAGAGTGGTTTAATGACTTGATGGGAGATTAGTTTGACTAGGATTGAACTTATTTTGATTTCATTGGGTCTGTCTTGTTGAACTAGTCAATTTGACTGTAAGTTTGCTAAAATCAGAGCTCTGAATGACTTTTTTTCGATTTTTAAATATTTAATGCTCAAAAGTTGACTCGAGATCCTTGTTATTAATCAAAATTCATGATAGAAGATGAAAATTTGTTGGAATCTTATCAATATTGTTTCACGCAAAATAATAATAATTTTAAAAAAAAATTTAGAGGACAAATATTAAAAATAAGCAAATGTAAAATAATTATTAAAAAGGATAACTATGAGTAATCGTGCAATGAGCATTTTGTACTGTTATTTTCTATTTTATAAAAAACACTATTTTAAAAGTGTACTAATTTTTATGAGATTATTAATAAATAAATTAATTAATATATATATATATA